TAAATCTGCTTTAAATTGATTTAAAATAAAAAATCAGTGATTTATATCATCGTGATTTAAATCACATGCCATCCCTATGTAGCATGCCCTGAATCACTATACCCACAACCCTACTGTACGTGTGTATTTATTTTCGCTTGGCAATTCTTATAAGATTATCATAATCGTATATGTAAAGTAAGCAAATTATATAACGACAATCCATACAGATTTCTTTATGCGATTTCTTAATTTGAGCCAAAAATTATAAAAAAAATTACAAAAAAAAAAAGGCCTTTATTTCCAAAGAATTAAAATCCAATAATTATATTATATATATATATAAATTACCATATGAGTTAGGGATATACCCCGGGTACACAAGTCAGACCTTTACGGTATATAGTAGTTATATTGTGTAAGGTTCATTTTAAATATTCATCATTTAACAATTAGAAATGAGAAAAATGTTTTAGGATAATTAATTTTAAACAAAGTAAACCATTATCGTTGCCACTAAAATAAAGCTAAACAGAAGTTTGCTTAATCCAGTGAAGTTTATTTTAACCCTAAAAAAAATATAGAGTATTGTGTAAAAAAAAAATATACTATTTACAGGCTATAAAAGTCGAATCGAAGTAGTAAAATACTTACGGTGCAGCACCACTTTTATTAGGACTTGAACCAGAAGGGGAATTTGTTGTAGGTTGGGGACTGGAAGGAGAACCAGAGGATCCAGTAGAAAAGACTTCGAAAGTTCCAGAGTATTTATCTCCAGACCCATCATTAAGACCAAGGTAATACATGCCCGCAGCAACATTGACCGTCCATTGATAATTCTTGGCAGAGAGGTTTATTGAACCGCTAATAGTAGTGGTATTTTTAGTTGTGTTGTCGATGACACTTAAAGTGCCTGGGAGCGGATTAGTTTGTGGGGTATATTGCCAAGTGATTGGAACAGTGGCACCAACCGCAATTCTATTACCAGGTGTATTAATTGATTGAACCTCTAAAGATATATGTACAATGTTAAAATAACTTAATATAAAATGACTTAATATATTTAATTCGAATTGATTATTCACTTTTTATGACTTTTAGGATGTTATTCTGGCTATCAGACTTTTTTATTTTCTAATTATTTATAATAAATTAGAATTAAATTTTAACTAAACAAGAATTTATAATAAATTAAAGAGCTAGATGAGCAGAATAACATCCCTACTTGGCTTATAATTAGAGATTGTACCCGGGTAGACATTTTTATTTTATGGTATAATAAATTATCCGGATAACCGGGTAATTTAATATACCCGGGTAGAACTTTTCTCGACGGGTACAATCTCTTGGCTTATATAAATTTTTGGTTGTATTAACTAGCATGCAAAAAAAAAAAAAAAAAACTTACGAGCTGAAGTATATCCAGCAAACAAAACCAAGAATAATGTAAGAAAAATAAGTCGTGCCATAATTATTTAGGGTTTAATTATTTTTTTTTCCTCAATTATTCGTTCCCGTTGTAGATAATGTAAAAAAGGACCTTTCATTTCTATCGGATAAACAAGATATTTATATTTAAAAGAGAAGAATTTACTGTAACCATAAATAATAATTCATATAACAGTAACTTAAAAGAGTTTCATAAAGGCATGTGGAAGACTTGTAGTAGCGAGCTGAGGATTATATAGTTAACCAGTATACGTTTTTGATTCACCTATTACTTAATTAATATTAATGTATCAAGAACGTAATTTTGAAAAGATAGACCGTTCGCACGTACGCCTATTTTGTGTTTTTTGAGTAACAAACATATATGTTTACGCGTTTAAGTTCGCGTAATACAATGAGAATCAAACGGGTACACAATAATGGGCGAACTCTAATAAAAGAAGTGTCGGGATCACAATGATCCGAAATTAAAAATAATTATCTAATTGAATTGAATGAAAAGTTATAATTTTCAGTGAATTCTGTTAACCTGACAGAATTAATTAAATTTTTGTAAATAAGAGCTCTTATATAGATTTAATAGAATTCTTAAATTCGGTAGCAACGGATGAAAAATGATATGATACGTACGTAGAGAATTTAAAGTGCTCTTCTAAAGGGATAACTGTTGATTGAATTTAATTAAAAACCTTAAAAGAACTTTACAGTCTTTAATCGGATTTGACCGGTTACGTCTATGATTATTTATTTTTTTTTTTTTTAGCAAATCATAATATTGTCCTAGGATTGGGAATCCCGTTTTTACATAGTGATAACGTTTAACAGGATAATATTTGTTATACTACTGTATACGTAGTTCCTAATCCTAGTGTGATTCGTAGACTAGTAACGTAACGCTAATATAATAACGATATATAATTTTAGTCAAGTATTGCCAAATGAAACTAAGGTAATCATTAAGATTCCACAATTTTATTTATTTATCGACTGTTTATTGGTATATACAATATATCGAAAAGAGAATAAATTACACAATACTTATAGTGTGTCGTAGATGGTCTTTGAGCATATATATTGGACAATTTCACAGACTTGGAGAATTATCAGACGAGTACAGAAAAACTCGAGATATTTTATTTTATATATTTGGAAAAAGACTTTGAGTGTGAAAATACAGTAATTACCAATACGAATGATAAACCGCTAAAGGGATACAACAATTTCTGTTAATCAATTGAATAAGTTTAGAAAAAAAAAAAAAACTTTTATTTAACTTTAATCATTATATTATATATATTATAGTACAAGTGTATCGGTATACCGATATTCTCAATAGCAATACAAGAATTTTTAATTTACATTTATACTTATTGGCAAACTATAAATCCCAAATATAATAAAATTGTCCCAAATCCAAAACCCAAAACCCAACCCAAATCCCAATGGTTTTGCCAACAAGTATATTACATTAGACAAAGTACACCATTACTATTGCTACCGTAATAAAATTAAGCAAAAGGTTGCAGGATGACCCAATGAAACTTGTAGCAGCATTCATCTGGGCTGGTGGTGTATTCGCTTTGGTGCTAGCGCTAGAACTAGCCCTAGAATTATGGAAAATATAACAATAGATTATTTATATATTTTAAAACTTTGAGTCATAAGTCATATAAAATACATACGGTGAATTGGCAGCAGGTTTGGGAGTAGGAGAAGGAGCAGAAGCGGGTGGAGGGGATGGATTATTTTGAGCTGGAGTACTCGCTGGAGCTGGAGCTTGAGCCGCCGGTTGATCGGCATTAAAGACTTCGAAAGTTCCCGAGTACTTATCACCAGTACCATCGTTGAGAGCAAGGTAATAAGTGCCCATGGGAACACTGACCTTCCATGTGTAAGATTGAGCAGTGAGATTTACTGCACTGTCAATAATGGTTGTATTTTTAGTCGCGTTATCGATTACACTTAAAGTGCCTGGACGCTGATTCGCTTGTGGGGTATATTGCCAAGTGATTGGAATGCTGGCACCTATCGCAACTCTATTACTAGGTGTGTTGATTGTTGAAAGCTCTGGAAATACATAAATACAATATTACACAATATTACACAGTCGCTTAACGTTAATACATTTAATCATTTAATTAATTTAATTCATTTAATCATTTAATTTATTTTAAATAGTATGCAACTTACGGGCTGAAGTAAACCCAATAAAAATTAAGAGTAGAAAAATAAATCGTGACATGATTATTTCTTTTCAGGTTATTATTTTATCGGTATCGTTATTTTTTTTTTTATTGAATTATTCGTTACTGTGAAGAAGATTTTTTTAATTCTGTTTTATCCAAAGAAGTGGGTAAAGCGAGATATTTATATATAAATTATGAAGAAAGAATTAACATAGCCGTAATTAGAGATTACACATGCGGCAACTTCGTTGACCGGTTTCAAACTATAATTAGATTTTGAGTTGATTGCGATGTAGTAACAATATGAAATTGCAGTTATTAATAATTTTTTACATAATTAGCATTAAGATTAAAATTTGATTATAAGTTTATGATAAGTCTAGACTAAGCTACGTAATAATGACGAATTGAATGACGAATTGAATGACGAATTGCATACACACTTTGATATGTTAATATATTTTTAAGTTTATGAATAATTATAAATTTTGTGCCTTACCCCCTAATTTTTATTTTAGCAACAAAATTTTTTTGATTAATTTGTTATTTCCCAATATTTCAATATTTCTCGGCACTTTGCGTTTGCCAATTTTATCTTTATCATCTCAAATTAAAATCTATATTTAAATTTTACTTTTTTATTATATACTGCATATCAATAAATCCTAATTATAAAATTTATTAAATTAACGAAATTAACGGTAAGTGGTGAAGCTTCTTTTGCAATCAACTTCCATTCTAGCAAAATAACAATGGTGGTCGTATACAAAATTTATAATTATTCATAAACTTAAAAATATATTAACATATCAAAGTGTGTATGCAATTCGTCATTCAATTCGTCATTCAATTCGTCATTATTACGTAGCTTAGTCTAGACTTATCATAAACTTATAATCAAATTTTAATCTTAATGCTAATTATGTAAAAAATTATTAATAACTGCAATTTCATATTGTTACTACATCGCAATCAACTCAAAATCTAATTATAGTTTGAAACCGGTCAACGAAGTTGCCGCATGTGTAATCTCTAATTACGGCTATGTTAATTCTTTCTTCATAATTTATATATAAATATCTCGCTTTACCCACTTCTTTGGATAAAACAGAATTAAAAAAATCTTCTTCACAGTAACGAATAATTCAATAAAAAAAAAAATAACGATACCGATAAAATAATAACCTGAAAAGAAATAATCATGTCACGATTTATTTTTCTACTCTTAATTTTTATTGGGTTTACTTCAGCCCGTAAGTTGCATACTATTTAAAATAAATTAAATGATTAAATGAATTAAATTAATTAAATGATTAAATGTATTAACGTTAAGCGACTGTGTAATATTGTGTAATATTGTATTTATGTATTTCCAGAGCTTTCAACAATCAACACACCTAGTAATAGAGTTGCGATAGGTGCCAGCATTCCAATCACTTGGCAATATACCCCACAAGCGAATCAGCGTCCAGGCACTTTAAGTGTAATCGATAACGCGACTAAAAATACAACCATTATTGACAGTGCAGTAAATCTCACTGCTCAATCTTACACATGGAAGGTCAGTGTTCCCATGGGCACTTATTACCTTGCTCTCAACGATGGTACTGGTGATAAGTACTCGGGAACTTTCGAAGTCTTTAATGCCGATCAACCGGCGGCTCAAGCTCCAGCTCCAGCGAGTACTCCAGCTCAAAATAATCCATCCCCTCCACCCGCTTCTGCTCCTTCTCCTACTCCCAAACCTGCTGCCAATTCACCGTATGTATTTTATATGACTTATGACTCAAAGTTTTAAAATATATAAATAATCTATTGTTATATTTTCCATAATTCTAGGGCTAGTTCTAGCGCTAGCACCAAAGCGAATACACCACCAGCCCAGATGAATGCTGCTACAAGTTTCATTGGGTCATCCTGCAACCTTTTGCTTAATTTTATTACGGTAGCAATAGTAATGGTGTACTTTGTCTAATGTAATATACTTGTTGGCAAAACCATTGGGATTTGGGTTGGGTTTTGGGTTTTGGATTTGGGACAATTTTATTATATTTGGGATTTATAGTTTGCCAATAAGTATAAATGTAAATTAAAAATTCTTGTATTGCTATTGAGAATATCGGTATACCGATACACTTGTACTATAATATATATAATATAATGATTAAAGTTAAATAAAAGTTTTTTTTTTTTTTCTAAACTTATTCAATTGATTAACAGAAATTGTTGTATCCCTTTAGCGGTTTATCATTCGTATTGGTAATTACTGTATTTTCACACTCAAAGTCTTTTTCCAAATATATAAAATAAAATATCTCGAGTTTTTCTGTACTCGTCTGATAATTCTCCAAGTCTGTGAAATTGTCCAATATATATGCTCAAAGACCATCTACGACACACTATAAGTATTGTGTAATTTATTCTCTTTTCGATATATTGTATATACCAATAAACAGTCGATAAATAAATAAAATTGTGGAATCTTAATGATTACCTTAGTTTCATTTGGCAATACTTGACTAAAATTATATATCGTTATTATATTAGCGTTACGTTACTAGTCTACGAATCACACTAGGATTAGGAACTACGTATACAGTAGTATAACAAATATTATCCTGTTAAACGTTATCACTATGTAAAAACGGGATTCCCAATCCTAGGACAATATTATGATTTGCTAAAAAAAAAAAAAATAAATAATCATAGACGTAACCGGTCAAATCCGATTAAAGACTGTAAAGTTCTTTTAAGGTTTTTAATTAAATTCAATCAACAGTTATCCCTTTAGAAGAGCACTTTAAATTCTCTACGTACGTATCATATCATTTTTCATCCGTTGCTACCGAATTTAAGAATTCTATTAAATCTATATAAGAGCTCTTATTTACAAAAATTTAATTAATTCTGTCAGGTTAACAGAATTCACTGAAAATTATAACTTTTCATTCAATTCAATTAGATAATTATTTTTAATTTCGGATCATTGTGATCCCGACACTTCTTTTATTAGAGTTCGCCCATTATTGTGTACCCGTTTGATTCTCATTGTATTACGCGAACTTAAACGCGTAAACATATATGTTTGTTACTCAAAAAACACAAAATAGGCGTACGTGCGAACGGTCTATCTTTTCAAAATTACGTTCTTGATACATTAATATTAATTAAGTAATAGGTGAATCAAAAACGTATACTGGTTAACTATATAATCCTCAGCTCGCTACTACAAGTCTTCCACATGCCTTTATGAAACTCTTTTAAGTTACTGTTATATGAATTATTATTTATGGTTACAGTAAATTCTTCTCTTTTAAATATAAATATCTTGTTTATCCGATAGAAATGAAAGGTCCTTTTTTACATTATCTACAACGGGAACGAATAATTGAGGAAAAAAAAATAATTAAACCCTAAATAATTATGGCACGACTTATTTTTCTTACATTATTCTTGGTTTTGTTTGCTGGATATACTTCAGCTCGTAAGTTTTTTTTTTTTTTTTTTGCATGCTAGTTAATACAACCAAAAATTTATATAAGCCAAGAGATTGTACCCGTCGAGAAAAGTTCTACCCGGGTATATTAAATTACCCGGTTATCCGGATAATTTATTATACCATAAAATAAAAATGTCTACCCGGGTACAATCTCTAATTATAAGCCAAGTAGGGATGTTATTCTGCTCATCTAGCTCTTTAATTTATTATAAATTCTTGTTTAGTTAAAATTTAATTCTAATTTATTATAAATAATTAGAAAATAAAAAAGTCTGATAGCCAGAATAACATCCTAAAAGTCATAAAAAGTGAATAATCAATTCGAATTAAATATATTAAGTCATTTTATATTAAGTTATTTTAACATTGTACATATATCTTTAGAGGTTCAATCAATTAATACACCTGGTAATAGAATTGCGGTTGGTGCCACTGTTCCAATCACTTGGCAATATACCCCACAAACTAATCCGCTCCCAGGCACTTTAAGTGTCATCGACAACACAACTAAAAATACCACTACTATTAGCGGTTCAATAAACCTCTCTGCCAAGAATTATCAATGGACGGTCAATGTTGCTGCGGGCATGTATTACCTTGGTCTTAATGATGGGTCTGGAGATAAATACTCTGGAACTTTCGAAGTCTTTTCTACTGGATCCTCTGGTTCTCCTTCCAGTCCCCAACCTACAACAAATTCCCCTTCTGGTTCAAGTCCTAATAAAAGTGGTGCTGCACCGTAAGTATTTTACTACTTCGATTCGACTTTTATAGCCTGTAAATAGTATATTTTTTTTTTACACAATACTCTATATTTTTTTTAGGGTTAAAATAAACTTCACTGGATTAAGCAAACTTCTGTTTAGCTTTATTTTAGTGGCAACGATAATGGTTTACTTTGTTTAAAATTAATTATCCTAAAACATTTTTCTCATTTCTAATTGTTAAATGATGAATATTTAAAATGAACCTTACACAATATAACTACTATATACCGTAAAGGTCTGACTTGTGTACCCGGGGTATATCCCTAACTCATATGGTAATTTATATATATATATAATATAATTATTGGATTTTAATTCTTTGGAAATAAAGGCCTTTTTTTTTTTGTAATTTTTTTTATAATTTTTGGCTCAAATTAAGAAATCGCATAAAGAAATCTGTATGGATTGTCGTTATATAATTTGCTTACTTTACATATACGATTATGATAATCTTATAAGAATTGCCAAGCGAAAATAAATACACACGTACAGTAGGGTTGTGGGTATAGTGATTCAGGGCATGCTACATAGGGATGGCATGTGATTTAAATCACGATGATATAAATCACTGATTTTTTATTTTAAATCAATTTAAAGCAGATTTA